CCATGTCTTTTTTGCTATACCCATGCCTTCATGAATCGAACTGCTAGTATGAATAATCGTTTTGGTATCGCATTTCCAACGCTAACTGATATATATCATATCTTCAAAATTCGATTTGTTTGGATCCTAAATAATTCGAAATATTATGAGGATATGTAAGTGATTCTAAAAGAGTTTCCTGAAAATGGATGGCATAAGTCAGAGTAGACAGCAACAATCATATTGATACATCATCATTCGGTTGCGACGAAAGCCTTCCCATTTGAAAAAAAAAACAATTAAAAGATACTGAGTTTCTACGTGAATTTCGCGGAATTTTGCAATAAATTGAAAAATCATAAGGAGTGGCAAATTTCTGAACGGAATTTCGAAAGTTTGACATGAGTACAGGAGCAGAACACCAAATCGGGAATTGGAACGTTGCGGGTTCAAGAAGAATGGTGTTTATCTGATTGATACCAGTATCATTTGTTATCACTAATCAGTGGTATTGATTAAAAAATGATGTGTACAGCAATCATGAGCCTCATTCTTCTATAAATACCAGTATGTCTTGTTAGTGCCAGAAAGTTGTATTGGTTCGAATTTTATCGGTGTGTTTGGACAGTATTGGAGTGGCATTCGGATTATTCTAGTGAAACTTATATCTGATACTGTCAATGAATGTGTAGCTGTCTTGATTGCATTCACTCTGATGGAATATTCATATTTCGTTCAGTGTAGTTGCTCACTGTCGTCGTATCGATACACATCTAACGATCAATTACTTCGTATAAAAGTCTTTACTCTATATGTGTTTTGTAACTGATAATTATTTACAATCCAGGCAAATCATAGCCTGATTCAGCCTCACCAACAAAGCAACATGTTGTCGAGCCTGATAGGCGCTTTGACTTGCCAGTGTTCTGTCTAATTATCTCTTCATGTTATCGTGGTGGCGTACAGATCAGTTTGCAGTGATTGTATCATTTTACAATCATCACATCACTTTCGCAAAAGTACGCTGATGAACTGATTTTAAACGAAACAAAGGCTTATCCGATGAATGAAGATTTTAAAATCGCGTCTCGGAGTTAGTCTCAAAACTGCATCATTTTTTATCCGCAGTTCGTCGTTAAACGGATGACCTAAAACGCTTTGAAATATTTTGTGTGATATACCGGCATCAGTCAATGAGCACGGCCTCATATTATTATAATTCATTATTATTTTCGTTGTTATTGCTTTTAACATTTGTACTATGGAATTACGTGTTGTTCACTTTTAGTTTGCGATGTGATTACCCAAGTATGTAGGTAATTCGGCATCTTTATCGAGACTGCCTTCGCATAAGATTCAAATGTGAGGATCTACTTAGATTTCCCATTCAGTATAAAATTATTTACATAATCGCTATTTTGTGGTGTTTACATATACGTACGTCATAATTTCGTCCCTTTCTAATAGCCGTCGACATATCCTTTGAAATACTCATTAGTTAATGCAC